GTTCACAGTTTGGCAATGCAAACTTTCAGATGATGGATGATTGTCCCCTAGTTCGTTCTTTGGGAAAACTTGTAGAGCAAGGTCGTCCTTTCGTTTGGTTTCCTGGTCAATTGCCATACTTTGGGAACAGTGCGGAATCAGTCCAAGTGGCAGCCAACTCAGAATCCATCACATATGCAAGTAGAGTAGAAGATGGAGTGCCAATTTTCTCAGAGCAATTTCACATGTCAACAGCTTTTGCCCTTCCAGGTGTTGAACCTGAATCGGCTGACGACCCACCAGCACCACCAATCGTTGAAGGTCCAGAAGTACCACCAGCAGCCGGTGTGCGAGAAGAGGGGGGTTCATCAGACGCCGATTCGGAGCGGGAGATGCCTGTGGATAGAATGCGAAGGCTTGTGGCAGAAGCCAACTCTCTCGAGCATAGACTGTGTCACTATCCCAAGAACGCTTCGTGTCCAATCTGTCAGCGATCACGAATGTATCGAAAGCGTGTCCGTAAACACAGGCACGACCCGCTTGCAGATCGTGGAGCGCTCGCTCCTGTGACTCAGTTCGGGGAGAGAATTGCAACAGACTTCGTAATAGTCCAAAAACTAAGTTCAGGAAAAGAACATGTTGTCCAAGTCATTAGAGATGAGTACTCGGGGTGGATCAGGGCTTTTCCTTTGAGTAAGCGAGACACAGCTTCAGTTGTTGGAAACATCCTTGCATTCCTAGGGCCATCCTACGATCAACCCTCAATCATGGTCAAGTCAGATCAAGCGGTAGAAACCAGGGCAGCTTGTAAACAGTTGGGGTGCACATTTGAGGGAACTCTGGAAAATCGGTTTCCCCATATCTCCACTCTAGAGCGTGACATCCGAACAATCCAGGAAGTCGCAAGAGCTTGCCATCTCCAGGCGGGTTTTGACATTGTGCCAGGCTTGTGGATGCACTCGATTGAATATGCTGCAGTCATGTTCAATGCTCACCAGAAAGCTGCTGGTAAAGATCAGACAAGACACATGATTGCCGTTGGTGTTGAATTCTCGGGCAGGAAGTTGTTGTTGGGTCAATTGGTTCACTATCATGTGGATGCATCCCAAAGGGGTAAATTTGATCCATCATCCAAACCGGGTTTGTTCGCAGGCTGGAGGTATGATGCAGGGCCACATTCCCATAAAGCTATCTACTATGTCTTGGATTATGGCAGGTTGAAGGAGAGGGGTCCAGGGTATGCAAATGCTATCTCTGTTCCAGCTGAAGAGCTGTTTGTTGAAGAAAGGGAGCCGTCACTTCCGTTGAAGCGGGCTGCAGATGACGCTTTGGCAAGATTCACAGACCCGTCGCTAGAAGACATTGCTCCTCTCGACATTCCCTTTTCAGATGTAGCCATTGAAAACAAAATCAAGCGTAACGAATATATCACCCTTGAGCGCATCATTCGCTTCGGTGCCACAGAAGGCTGTCGTGCATGTAGGTTCGAAGCCGAATACAGCAAACACACAGCAATCTGTAGAGCGAGGTTCAACGGACTAATCCGGGCTGAGCGCATAGCGTCGTCCAGGGCAGATGGATCAAAGACTCCATTGCCAGTTCCTGAGACGCCAACCGCATCTGTTCCAGTGCCGCCCACTCCAGCCTCAGAGACGGCTGATGATGAGTTTGCAGGTGCTGCCCCGGAGGATTTGCCTTTTAGTGCCGGTATCCCACCAGATCGTGCGGCAATAGGTAAGGTCCTTGAATTAGATGAACTGTTTGTTGAGACTTGTCGAATGAGAAATCGATTTCGCAGACTTCACAAACTGGTAGGGGAAAACATGTTGTTCGAGTTTGCATGTTCCAATGATTCAATACTGGGTCAGGTGTCGACTTCCATTGGGGTAGAGTGCATTCGGCTCAGTCGGGACGTGTTGGACTTGACGGACCCGTTGCATTTGTCACAGGCCTTAGGTCAGGTCGATGCTGTGCCAGGAGCGGACACATGGGTCTCGGTTGTGTGCACTCATCACAGTCCGTTGCAGCACTTGAACAAGCATTTGCACGGTCAACCATATCAAAAGAAATTGAAGAAGAAACAGAAAGAATCGATTGCCTTGCTTCGCAGCGCAGAAAAGTTCATGGAGAAAGTTCTGAGTCATGGTGGTCGGGTTGCCTTCGAGCTACCAGCAGAAAATGAGTTGTGGAAAGACCCACAATGGTTGGAGTTTGAGAAACACCAAGGGATGAAGCGGGTCTACTTCAACGGCTGTTCGCTCAACCTTCGGGGAAGACAGGGCAAACTGATTAAGAAACCATGGGCGGTCAGTACCACTGACCTTCGACTCATCCAATTTCTCTCTCAGCACAAATGTACTGGGGACCATGAACACGAACCTGCGATGGGTGGAAATGCATCACAAACCGCATATTACACCATGGAAATGGCATCGGTAATCCTAGAGGCCCTTTATCCCCACAAGTTCTATCGTGCCATCCCGTCTGTTTTGAGCGGTTCCGCCCTTGTCACACTCAATCTCAGCCGAAGTCAGTGGTTGAAAGATGAAAAAGGTGTGCAGGCCGTTCAGCACGAAGCACAAGGCCTTCGGCAAAATCAGACCTGGGATGATGCTTCGGTGGACACCATACAGAACTGGAAAGTATGGTCCAGAAACACAGGCATAAGGATTCACATTGCAGATTTGCTGACGCTGTGCGGCATAAAGCATTTTGAATTGGAGCCTTCTCAGTGGAAATACAAGGGCAGAATAGTATATAGGGGAGACAGAATTCGGGACACAGATGGCAACGTGGTCTTGTTCCAGGAGACCGCCACAAGTCCCACAGCCATCATTGCCTTGCAGATCACTCTATGGTTTGGGATGCTCCCAGATCACATCGTGACTTGTAGTGACGCTGTCCAAGCATTCCTGCAAAGCTGGTTGGACGAGGATGAGTACACACTTGTCCTCATGCCAAACGAACTCTGGTTGCCAAGTTGGAAAGCCAAGTTCGGAGAAGCGGCCAGGCTAGCAGTACGTCTGCAGAAGAGCTTGTACGGTCACCCAATGGCCGGAAAGTGGTGGCAGAATCATCTTTCTTCGTGTTTGGTCTCGTTAGGTGGAATTGAATTGCAGGAACACCCCAGCAATTTCATTTTTCGATGGAACCCAAGTGAGCTTGGAGGAGAGGTGAATCAAGAATTCGTCCTTTTACTTAACGTGTATGTGGATGACCTGACCCTTAGCGGTCATCGTTCGTGCCATTCATCATTTTGGAAAGTCTTAACTGCCAAGGTGAAACTAGAGCCGTTCCAAGAGGTTGATGTTTCAGGTCACTTAATTTTGGGTCGCAAACACTTCATTGAGAGGAGTCCATCGCATACTAAGGTCACATTTGACATGCGTACTTATGTGGATCAGGTGGTTGGGACATACTGCGAACTGACAGGGATCAGTCAACAGTCTCTCAAGAAGGTCACGACACCAAGCTTCCCTGAAAGCTCTATGACCGATCAGGAGCTGTCACAGACGGGTGAACTTAGTGGCTTGGCATCAAAAGTTCTCATGCGAGCGCTTTGGCTCTCACGGCTGGCAAGACCTGACATCAGCTTCATCGTTGGTCGTCTTACCACTATGGTGACCAGATGGTCGAGATTCGAGGACAGGCAATTGCACAGGTGCATTTGCTACCTTCATCACAGTCGGGACAAAGTCCTAGTCGGACATCTCGATCATGAGCATGAACATGAAATGTCAATAGAGGTTTACACAGATAGCGATTTTGCTGCTTGCCCTCATACCGCCAAGAGCACATCTGGCATTCTGATCGCCCTCAAAACAGGCCAATCGATGTATCCACTGCATTGGTGGAGCCGAAAACAGTCCAGCGTTGCAAGGAGCACGCCGGAAGCAGAACTCATAGCGATGTCGACGGCGATGTTCACCGAGGTGTTCAACGTGCAAACCATGTTGGAACACCTTATGCAGCGACAGGTGCCTGTAAACTATAGGCAGGACAACCAGGCTGTGGTGCAAATTTTGGGGACCGGATATTCCGCAAAATTGCGCCATGCACCACGGGTGCACCGAGTTAATGTGAGCTCTGTTCACGAGGTCCTCACTTCCGAACATGCCCATGCAGTTTGGTACACACAGACCACGGAGCAAATTGCAAATGGCCTAACGAAGGTGATTACTCCTGCCGAGTGGCCGGCCATGTTGAAGCAGCTGAGCATTTTCGACTTTTCTGTAAACTCTGAAACGTGAACTGGTATGTTTTCTTGGAATTGGCCATGCTCCGGCGTGATGCTTTGGTTCCGGGAATCTGACACATTGCATGTACAGAACGAGGGGGGAGTTGATGGAAAGCATGTATAGAGCATAGCATTCCTTGACGTCTTCTCATGCATCATGTGTCACTCATCATTTTGCCTACGCGACTTTGTATTTGGCTCAAGCACTGCGGAAAAAGGCGTTTGCGCGTGGTGCTTGCCGTTGCTACTAAACTACCAACTTTGGCTGTGGTTGGTGAGTTTAACTGTGTTTTCTCAAATGAACTTCTTTGGAAAAAGAATCGGGTGTTTTGGAAAAAAACAGTGTTTGTTCAAATGAATTTCTTCCGGATAAACATCAACGCGCAAAACATCACAACACATGTTCGAGCTATTTTGGCGGGTCGTTGCCAGCTGGCAGCGTTTGGCCGTGAAGCTTGAGTATCAGGGAGCCACCCTATGACAATGGCAACAAATTGTTCAACGAAAGGTCAGTTCAAGTTAGTCAGGGTGCAGCCCATTACCAGCAACATGTTAACAGTTAATAGTCACTAGTCGGTAGAAGAGTATCACTATTTTTGAGAAAGGCCTTTACTAGCCGTCATCAGGGGATATACTGTACCCAAGTTCAAGTGAATCGTCTACCAAAGGCATGCCCTTGCCTGATGCTTTGATTCACTTCTCGCTTGTGACAACGAGGACCTGTCGATTTTCATGATGTCTTCGCAACAACAGCCGAACTCCAGCCGAAGTCGCCTCCTTCCAGGCGAGTTCGATCTTTGGTTGGGTTGTCATCATATCTTTTGCTCAAAGCCTGGCACTCAGAGGCGTCGTCGACGATGCGAACCTCTCTTTGTGCTTTGGTCCGGACGGTCCGTAGGACGGATGAACGAGGGGTAGGGTGTTCGGGCGTCGATGAGTTACCTGGATCCCAGTCTCCGAATCCAGGGGAAAACATGGGAACACCTGGGAAAACCCAGCTCGTTCGTTCGCTAAAACCACAGAATGGTCCAGTAAAGCAGTATAGTTCCAGTATAGGTCCAGTATTCGCCCAAGCCCGTTGGTAAGCAGCAAAGACGTTCCAGTAAAACCAACCACAGAACAGCTCCCAAGTCCTGGTTCGTTCCTGCCTGGGATCCTCTGGCTAATGTGCGTTGGGGAATCCCCAGGTACCGGTGTGTGCAGCAAAGCAATCTCGACAGAAACGTAAACCCAAGCTCGAATTTCAGCGTGAAAATGGTCATGTCCGAGAAATGACTTCTCGCAAACAGTCAAAAAAAGATCGAGACATGCTTTTGACACTGTGCAGTTCGACACCCAATCAGATGAACGTCATGCCATGCGGTGAACGTCATCCCAATTGGAGCTGATATCGCTTGACGATATCGTTGATTTCCCGCCGCGAAACGCTGACGCCGCGCGCGAAACGCGTGACTGGACTGATGTTTCTCCCACGGCGCAGCGCGCGTGTTGAGGTGTTCCACGGAGATGTTGAAGCGCAACATGCCGTGCCCCTTATGCCGTATTGCCTCCACGAGCGTCTTGAGGGGCAACTCCTTAGGCGCCGCCGCTTTCTTTTCATTCCATTACTAGTAGCTGAGGGCATTACTATATAGTAGCAAAGACGCTACTATAGTAGTAAAGTGCATCGCTACTAGGAACACCATCACTAGTGGTTTGGAGGCCATTCCATTCATTGCATTCATTCCGGTCATTCTATTCATTCCATTCACTCCTCAAGTACAGTGCGCCACGAACGCCTCGGTCAGATTAGTAGTTCGAATGAGCTCGCACGAGAGAAATCAGTGCGAGAGTTAGTTTATATAATAATATTGTTTTTGCGGAAGACGACTGACCGTTTCGGATTTTGCCTCCTTGGAGCCTCCATAGGCTAAGAAGTGTTGCCCAACTTCATATCTATAGGCACCGGCTGACCCCACGCAGAAACTATGTTTGTCCAAGAGGAAGTTCGAGGTTTGTGTGGATGTTTGTTCCATAATTACAGATCCCTTTCAGGGACATGTCGGGGAAAAAAAAGGCTGTAGAGCGCAGACGTCGCTTCAAAATAGGTTGAATTGGCTGGTGCATGGTGGTGCAGGAATTCTTCAAGAAGTGAATAGCCAGTGCCCCAACAAAAACACCATGGGTTCAGCATCCCTTCTGTTCAAGTTCACCATGGGTTCAGCTTTGGGACGCCACGAGATGTGGCACAGTTCGCTCCTCGACGTCCGCAGGCCCCCGGATCTTCCCCTTCACGGTGAGCCCGAAGAGCAGCCGAACCACGGCGACCCAGTCCAAAGGCGAGGTATTTTTTTTTTAATCGAGGAGGAGTCGTGACAACAGAGAGATCATATTATATATCCAAATTCCATATGTTCATTTTTATGTATTTTTTTAAAATTGGAATGAACTTCCCAACAGCCTATAGATGTGGGATGATGTGGGGTGACCATCTTTCTTCGGCCACTGGCGTCTCCGACCGGAGCGGGGGGGGGGGGGTTGGAAACGGGGTCGAAACGGGTCGGCTCGAGCTCCAAGGGACTCCCACGAGCCGGCGAAGAGCCAACGCACCGGTGTTCAAAGCAGATGGGCCAACCAAAAACCAAATAGCCAGCAGTCACAAGTACGGGGTGGTGTTTAGTCCCATCCAGTGAGTGGATGTGACAAGGGCACCCCTAACCTCCATTAAGCACCAAATAAGGCCCATAGGGTGGCTCTTTCCAAGACATGTTTTTGACTTTGAAGCTCTTCGAGATCTGAGACCGCGAGCTAGAAGACATGTTTTTGAACCAATGTAAATTTGGAAGTGACACAGCTTCCATATGACACAGCTTGACGCGCGCGAGCTTCACCCAAGACGTGCACATGCCCTGCCAGTTCATGAGACTCCTTGCGTCTGCAGACTTGGCTGTCACGTCACAGCATGTCCGTGTCCATGTCGCACGCATTCGCGCGCACTGCGCCTTGTCCATGTCGCACTGCGCTGGCAATTTGTCTCAATACTATACCAACTATATAATGTAGACTCTTGATGAATAAACCATCCCATTTGGATTAAAGTCCTCTTCATGTGGGGGTATTATGGTCCTCAAGAGTCTACATTAGTGTTGAACTCTTTAGTGTTCCACTAGGTCCACTAGGTCCCGTGTTGGCTTGAGTGATCCCAACAGTCGGTTTGAGTCCAGCGGTCCATGTCCCGAGCCTCTTCGACTTCGAATGTGAATGGAAGTTCCACCAATACGTGTGACGCAAGGCATTGGTGATGTGCTTGTCTGGGCGAAACTGGGTATACTATCTCTCAGCCGCTGGTGTGGGGGAATTGTTTGGGGCTTCAGGCTACACGACAAAATGCGGACATGCACATGGCAAAACAGCATGCAGATGCGGTGAGATCCCCGTGCGCACGCGGGCAGCAACGCTTGCGCACGCCTTGGTCAGTGGCTTTGTTCAATCGTCAAAGAGCTCATTCTTTCAGGTGTGCACTTGCTACGGGCTGAAGAAGTGCAGCGGGGTGGAACAGTCTAAAGCCGCACAAGTGGAGCATGTGACCCGCCACATGGTTCCAATGGACCTCAGGTTCGCTGCTCCAAAGGACCTCGTGTTCTCTCCAAGACCTCGCCGACAGCTGATGATTAAGCAATGCAATGGAGTTGCCAGATGTTTTGATGCACAGTCAGCTGGCATGAGGCCATCTCTTCAGATCGCTGCATCAAAAATGCGTGAGTGGCTTCTCCTCTTCTGGTTTGAGCCATGCATTACTGAAACAGCAAAAGAAATGCAATATGACAATGACAACAGTCAAAGGTTTCTTGATCACGATGTCCAGGCAGATGCTCTGCCAGGTGCTGGCCTTGTCTCATGACGATTTCGTCGCTGGTCGACACGTCCGGCTTGCCGCGCCATGGCGGAGGGAGGGACGAAGCCGAAAGGAGAAACCATTCCAACGGACGTCCCACTTGAAGTCGTCCAACATTCACAGGGAGGGAGGCAGCTGTCCTGAGCTAATGGCCAAGGCCGCAGAACATGCTCACATGCACGTGTTTTGGTCAACCACAAACATTCTCACCGCTAGGGCTCCAGTCGTACCTCCTCAGAAGGTATGACTGGACCCTCTAAACCCACCCCAAACGCCTTCGAAACGAAGGTATTTGGAGCCCTAGGGCACATGTAAGCGCAGAGCTCATTGCGAGACTATCCCTGCGAGACTACCAATTACGCTTGCGTTCGACTATGCGAGGCTGTCCTCACCTGGTCTTGCGAGACTAAACTTTGCAAGACTGCAGCTTGTACTTTAGAAAGGTATGAAGCCATTGCGAGACTATACAGCTTGACTTTCTCATATGTATGCGCGTAGCGCATTGCGAGACTACCAATTGCGCCGAAAACTGGCGTGGAGACGAAGCCTTGCACAACATGCCTCGCAGCCAGACCTTCGACAATAATTCTACATTGAAAGTATTACACTAAACATTATTCGGCTATATGCGCAGTGAGTCTTAAATAGACACTGCGAGACCAGAGTTTGCGAGAGCACAAATTGTGATTCTGAGACTGACGACTTGCCAAGCCACAACTTGCTGTTGCAAGACCAAACTTGACCAGGCTAACACTAGCATTTTTTGACTCCGCCATTTAAAAATCACGCCAGACTCAAAAAGACCTCTGGCATAGACGCATTTCTAAATGCAGACAGGTCACAGGGCATCTAAGTTGCCTCCAAAGTGACAGGTTTTCAGAGACACATGCACAACGTATGTTTTATGGAAGACATAATTAGCGTTACTTTAATTTGGAGCAAACTCCATTTGTTTAACCGGAACATGGCGTATCGAGTGAGGGATCTGCAGAATTGCAGGCACTTCAGCTTGCGCGCCAAGAGCTGGACAGAGCTGGACAGCGAAGCTTTTACAGCAAGATCGAGAAGAGACTTCCGCCATTGACATTTGCAGCTGAAAAGAGAAATCAGCATGGACATGTTGTCACCATGTAACAACGGAACATGCTAGCTTCAGAACGCCTTCGGTTATGCAAGATTAAGGACGAGCCCTCTGATCCACAAACACTAATGACTAATGATTTTGCAAGCACTTGCGTGCGCAGATTCTTCCTGGCCATCTTTGGCTGCCATTAGTGGTGGGGTGTCCGTCTTGAACCGCAGAACAGTGGTTGCTCGTTTCAGGACAGCTCTTCAAAAGAAATGAATGGCTGCACGCAGGCATCAGACTGGTTACAGTCCTCATATGAGTGGTTGACCGTGTCCTTGGCGGCTGCTGCTGCCAAAAATATTTTGTGGTGTATGTATATAGTCGCTCTTGACATTCCGGAGCAGGAAGTCCCTTTCTCCTTGCATCGCTTGATGACTGCGGTGCCAAGTGTCACAACGACCAAAAAGCTGCCAGGAATCTTGCCTATGTATATAATGGGTGGTAGAGTGAGATTAACAAAAACCCTGCTTGCGCCAGAGTTGGTGCCGGAAAGAGAAGGCAACGTTCTTGGCATTGAGCTTCATGATTGTGATTTCAACAGACTTCAAAGGCAAGCCCCAGGTAGCATTGCAGAAGATGCTTGTTGCCTATCGGAGTACGTGGCCCAGGCAATTTATGTGAAATTCGACGATCTTCAAGTGGCATGCGACAGTTTGCATTGCTGAGCGTTTTTGGGAAGGCAATATAGGATTTGATCCAAAGTTCTCACTCGAGACAGGATCACATAGTACGCCAGCCAGTTTGATTCGATGCTCAAATTCGGCAATGGAAAGTGCGCCAGCAAGCTATGCAAATGGGTTAGGTTAGATGGAACCATAGACCCACAGACCCTGCCAGAAGGCAGCCAGACCCATGATTTTGGAGGGAACCACGCGAACAGTGATTCGACTTCCTGAGCGGTACATGGACCTCCACTGTGCCAAGAGATCGGGGCTGTTGCGGGTGGGGGCGTGAACACAGGTCTCCCAAGTCTTCCAAATACGATTCCATGTGCTTGCGGTCTCCAAGTGGTGGCGAGGCAACAGTCGGCGAGGTGCTCTACTTGCTGCGCCGGCAGGCGGGACATGGTGGGACGCGACTGGTGCAGGGCTCTCCTCACCCAAGGGCGGGACGCATACATAAACGATCTAGGCTTCAGACATGCAGACAGTGTACTGCAGACAAGCGAACATGTTTTTCCCCAAGGGCGAGAAGGGTGCAGAGATTGAGAAACTCCCAGGGCACCTGGATTGAAAAGATGCATGTCCACTCAAGCACCAGAACAGGAGTTTCCAATTCATGTCCCTCAAATCTGACATGTACAGCTGATATGGTCCGAGGTGGGTGGAACACCTTAACAGAATCTCTTTTGCCATCTTTTTCCATACCCTTTCGTCAGGGCCATTCATCTCGCTTGTGGCTCGGATCGGGATCGAACCAGAAGCGAGAAGCCTTGGGGTGGTTGGCCACACGCCAGACGCAAAGGGGAACCCGAATCCTGGGGTCTTGGGGGTCCGTCCGGGGTCTCAGCAAACCTCTAGGCTTTGAGGATTCTTAGGGATGATGTTTAAGTTGTTTTTTCCTCAAAACCGTGTGGCCACGCTAGGGGTTCTTACGGTAAGCGTTCAGGACCCGCGCGGTCGGGTACGGCTATTTGCTATTTACAGTGCATTCATGCCTCTCAAAATCGTCGACGGCGCTCTCGTTGCATTTTTGCACATGGTGGTCACTTCCGTGGCAGGCGCCAGGGATACCTCGTGTTTTCGTGGTCCAAAGTCGACTTTTCCTGACAGGCGCAAGGGATCGGAGCGGTTTTACTTCGAAATGCAGATTTCGAGGCAGGTACAGCACTTTGGACACGGTGGTGATCGTTGAAGAGCTCTGATTTCGTGACAGGTTCAGTGAATGGTGACTTTTGGACATGTGGCTCGATTGCAGACTTTGTGGCAGGCAGCACTTTGTGAAAGTTCCGTGACTGAAAGTCACACCACTGCTCCACTGGGTGAAACTGTCTGACAGCTGTCTGAAGAGCTTTCTTCAAAAGAAGACAACTGAACCAACTAGCAGGTTTCCAACAAAGGTCATGCACCGATTGGCTGCGACTGTCAGAAGTCAGAACCGTCTCCATGGATCTTGTTGCTGTAAAGATTGACATCCTTGCTGTTGCAAAAGTAGCTGTTGCTGTCCACTGTTCCAGGCGTTTTTGTCTGGTGACAAAACTCATTGTCTGTGGATGTGAAGGCAAACTGCTCAAAAAGAAGTTTTGGTTTGCTTGACCAAGCGAAGCTCGTAGCAAGCAAAGCACTTTGTGAACCTCGAAGTGCAGATTTCGTGGCAGGGGCAGCACTTTGTGCTCTCAGATGTTCGCTCTCACACTCTCTCACTCTCACTCTCACCTTCACTCTCACTCACTCTCACTCTCTGGACTTTCTGCTGCTACACCTGCAGACCGGGTCTCTTGCCGGGATAACCTTTCGTTTTTTCACAAGTTCACAAGATTGTCTTTTGTGTTTTATTGGTGGTTTTTCCGTGCTTTCTCCTTTTTTTTGCTGCTTTCAGACCTGCGGAGAACAGTGAGTCCTTCTTCACGCGGAGTCATCATGAGTTCCACACCCGCGTGGACCTGGGAACCAAGTCCCAACCGGAAATAGATGGTTATTCCAATGCCCAAACACTCCATGTATGCGCGTACATTGGGGTGGTTTGGCGGGTCAATGTCTAAGCATATATTCCATACATGGAGTGTGTGGGATATGCTTTGCTTGGGATCCTTTATATTATACGAAATGGCTGGGACTGGGGAAACATCCATTGCTTTCTGGTTGGGACTGAGTTTACACATCTAAAGGAAATCAAATGCCTTTGCCAACCTTTGTTAAATACAGCCGGTGTTCCATCCGCCTCCGTTGCTCCATCCGCCCATTTGATCCACAAACCTCAGTGACAACAATGTGTGTTTTGCGCAATATTATTCCAGCACACTCTGCGTGCCCGCACCATTTGACGAAGCCACGTGTTTTTTCTCGCACGCGCCGGCAATGAGGTACGAATATGAGCTGAGATGTGGAATGCGTTCCAAAAAGTTCCAGAAGATTGGGTGTTGCAGGTCTGGCCTGACACGAAAGACATCTCAAGGAAACTGTCAGACTTGGAGGTGAGAAAATGGACCCAGGAGTGAAGTATGTTGGGTCCAGGCGTTGTAAAACCTTCGCTTTCGAAGGATCCGACCCGGACCTCGATCGTAAAGAACCGGAGGTCGCAATGGTTTGACGGGTGCGATGTCGGGTTGTTTCAAACACGTGATGCCAGGCTTCCGGAAGAATGATACCATGGTGGATAGAACTTGACCCTAGGCTTCCAACAACCATTAATTAAATAGGGTTTAGCGAATCAACTAAGGATTTTACACTACAAAAACCAGGTCAACCGTCCCATTGTTTTAATGGTCGTTCCCGGAAGTCGAACGGGTTGAAGAACAACGAAACTCTCGGAATCCGGTCTATGAGAACTGACCTGACTACTGACCAGTAAGCAAGCTATCAGGCCTTGTTGAACAAGGCCTGCCACTGAACCATCATGTTCCACAGGTAATAGGATAGACCCAAATTCCATGTATCATTTCCCAACTAATTGTCAATTAGTTGTTATACAGTCAGTTTCTACGGATTTGTTTAAGACTTCCATTAGAAGTTACATGTCTAATTGTTTGTTTCATTCATTCCAGATGCAAATCACCGAGCAGCATGTTCTCGCGTGACGCTCCTTTTTTTTGTGGCATCCCACCGGACGAGTCGGGTGCAGAATCCAGAAGGGCACAGGAGCCAAGTCGCTGTTGTTTTGGAACCGTTGCATTTGTTATATGGTTCTTATAGATGATAATATATAATCAGATCATGATTGATGTTGTTTGTGTTTTTTTTGTTTCTTTTTCTTGTTCTTCTCGTTCCTCTTGTCGTTGTTTCTCTCGCTCTCAAATTGGGCTCCACATTGGTCGTTTGGGCCAACAGACCGCCGGTGTTGACCGGGTGGGCCCCGCGCAGGTTGCGCCGTTGCTCCTGGTGCCAGTGCGCAGCGGCTGCGCAGAATCCGACGTCTCTCTAGCGAGGTGCAGCGGAGCTGTTGTTTCTCAGGTGGTAAGAAATACGAACTTCATAGAGGTAGGGGTGGGAGGCCACCACCATGAGGTTGGAGGCCATCGCAAAAAAGGTTGCAGGCCTAACAA